GGCTGCTTAAGGAGTAATTCTTTTTTTTTTTTTTTTTTTTTTTTCTTAAAATACAACTGCTTTATTTTAGGGAAGTCCATTATTTTTTGGAGCTTCACTCTTATGCAGGCCACACACACTGATTGATGGCCAACAGGAGGTTGCAGCTAGCTGCTGCAGAGGAACAGAGGAAAACATTAAATTCAATTTATGCTGCTGTGTGACAACTTGCTCTGATTTTGCTCCTTGGCTGCTGAAGGTGTTGGAGCATCACTTGGGAGGCATCCATGCTCAGAAGCTGATGCTGTGTGTTGGGGTGAATTTGCAGCACAGAGCTCAGCGACACTGACTGAGGAGTGGAGTTGCCTTTGCTTTCCTCCCCTCTCCCCATCCTCGTGCTGCTGCTCAGGGCAGCTCACGAGCTGGCAGCAGCTTCCTCTTTAGGGCAAGCCAGCAGTGGAACAATTCCCTGCATCCCCTCTTGTGCACCCATGAGAGATACTGATTTCTGTGGTCTCCAGGTGACACTGGTCTCCTCCAACCAGCAGCTGGGGGGATAAAATGTTTGCTGTGGTGGCAGCTCTCTCCTGCAGCCAGGGATTCAAAGCTGTATTTGGCCAGTGACAAAGTGCATGAGCAAGAGGCTATTTCGCTATTCGTCGGGGTTTAAAGTCTTTGTGCAGATCTCTTGGTAGTTAGTGAAGGACTTGTGGTTCTGCAATGGGCTTTGAATTTTGACCCCAAGTGTCAGGTTACAGTGTTTGTCTTTTGTTAGTTGGCTTGTGAGTATGAAGCAGTGCTGATCGAACCTTTGGAGAATATATTGAATGTGCAAATTTGCACAATGATCTTGCTCCATTCAAAGCAATCTGACTTTGGATATATGTTGAAATACCCCCCAGTATGCTGTAGACACATTCCTCTTTGGTCTTGGATGTGCTGTGTGTATGTGTTTAGTTGGCACTGTGAACTCTGAGGTTTTCTTTTAAGTTTTTCTACAGTACTTTAGGGAACTCAACTCTCATCACTAATAAAATAAAATAAGGCAAAACACTGGTAGGTCTTGCCTTGTTAACTGTTCTAGCTGTTTTGTTTCCCACTGTTCCAAAAAAAATACAAAGCTTTATAAGATTCAACTTATTCCCAGTGCAAATCATGAATATTTATAGGCAAAGAATAAGACTTCCCATTTTGAAATGTTAGTGCTAGGAAATTGCTTTTTTGGCAAGCGTGATTAAGCCACACAGACTTCCAATAAAGTTTTGTAAGCTTTTTCCTTAATTATGACTTAATTTAGGCCTCTGAGTTTAACAAAACGTGTGAAACTTGCAGCAAAATATTTCTCTTGTGGAAAACTGTTTGCATGGATTCCAAATCCCATATTTCTTGTGGTTATGATTTTTTAATGTGCTTAAATGTGGAAATTCCTTGTTTTTTCTATACATTTCTTAACACATTTACAACATAGAAATAACCTATACTGTGTGTTTAATGCAGAATTTTGAAGAAATTGGTTTGAAAAGTGCATGTGATTACTTTTTTCCTCCAAATGCCTTGAGTAAAATGTAGAGGTTCTAAGACATCAAGCAAGGGGTAAAATATTCTGTCTCAATCAGTTACTGCTGCAGGAGATAAATGAGGAACAATTTTGCTTTCATACAGTTGTTCTTAAATGCACCATCCTGACAACAGCAATAAATAGAATAATTTGCATAATTGCATTTATGTGGCATTGACCTGTCTTTCCTAGAGAAAATCCCTTTTCCCAGATGAAATAATCTTCCATTCAACTGTAAGTGGAAGGAAGCCTCATTAGTAGCTGCACAGATTTAGGGGAATGTTTCTTCACAGGCTTAATACAGAATTTTGATGTGGACCTCCTAGTGAATTTGATATTTGGTGAACAAATTTCTGTAAAGGCACTAAAACCACCTTGCTTTCCTGTACTGATTGCCTAACAGGGTATTACTCAAAAGGACTAGACAAGAGAGGAGAGAGATGATGTGATTAAACTTAGGTAGATTTATTACTAGATTTTTTGACAGCATATTTTCTTAAATTGTTGTAATAAATATCTCAGCCCTGCTCAAAGATAAAGTTTTGAACAGCTTTGAGCTATTCCTGGCTTAATACTTAAGTAGAAGTAGCCAAAGTGGTGGGAAAACAGGATCATTTTGGAAAAGAAACATTCAGTTTAAAATCCTCTACTGTGATCATGCTTTTCAGACCCCCTGCAGCCTTACTTTATCAAACTGAGAATGTCTCCATCTCCCTAATACTAATGTTTGAAATATGATACAGCAAATCATCTGAATAAAGTATGAAGAAATGAAGAAAAAAAAATATATGGTTTGCATCACAGCTACCTGGGACCTGCTCCAGTGGCACTTGCCCTTGCTAAGATGAGCTTAGGGGTAGTCATGGGCTCTCAAGCTGGGCTTTCTAGGGGAGGTGAAGAAAGTGGAATGCCTTGAAACTCAGACACTTGGGCATTTTTAATCTCTAGGTTGGAATGGTGAAGTCAGCATTTGCAAAAGCAAATATTTGGAAAGCAGTTTGAAAACTGTTTTACTGAAAATGATGCTGAAATTGGGGAGTTTGTGAGGGGAGGTGTGTGCTTTTATTTCCCCAATGGAACTCCCTGGGATGGCAGAAAGTACCACCAGAGTCTGCTCTGTGTTTTCACCTATCTTTGTTCTTCTTTGCAGGTTACATATTTGGGTAAGGTTTCCACAACAGGGATGCAATTTTTGTCAGGCTGCACAGAAAAACCAGTCATTGAATTGTGGAAGAAGCACACGCTCACCAGGGAGGATGTTTACCCAGCTAATGCCCTTCTGGAAATTCGCCCTTTCCAAGTCTGGCTGCATCATCTGGACCTCAAAGGCGAGGCGACAGTGCACATGGATACCTTTCAGGTGGCACGTATAGCCTACTGCACTGCTGACCACAACGTCAGCCCAAACATCTTCGCCTGGGTCTATCGGGAGATCAACGATGACCTGTCCTACCAGATGGACTGCCACGCTGTGGAGTGTGAGAGCAAGCTGGAGGCCAAGAAGCTGGCCCACGCCATGATGGAGGCCTTTAAGAAGACTTTTCACAGCATGAAAAGCGATGGCCGGATCCACAGGAACAGCTCATCGGAGGAAGTGTCTCATGAATTTGAATCTGATGATGGCTGACTGAAGTCATTCACAGTTCAGCAAAGGCAGAAATGGCTTAGGGAATGAGAGCTGGTAGATGAATAAGCAACAATTGAAACTGGGTAATGAAAGGACTGCCAAACATTTGTCTGACCACCTTTTTAAATCAGAAGAGCAATTTGGTACCTACAGATATGCATTATTAAAGTAATTACATTGCATTGAAATCTGCTGCTGTTGTAAAAGTGAGAAGAAGATTTCCCTCCCCCACCTCTGTCACTCTCTCATCACTGTCCCTTTCTTGTCTTTGTAGTTCAGGTGCATACCATGAAGTGCAGTCATTCCTGTTTGTCTTGTGAGACTGGTCAGGCAATTTTATTAGTTGCTTCTCTGGCATTCCTAGCTGCAGGCTGATGCTGATGCACAAGAGCAAGTAGGCCTGGAAAGCCCTAATGGTTCCTGAAGAATCTTTCCCCATGATGCATCACACAGATCCTTTGACCATCCATAGGCTAAGACAGCCATACGCAGCCTTTTAGACTAATGGCCTGGCATTCTGCAGTTAATTCACATTTCACAGATAAAAAATGAAAGATGCTTGTATGTACACATTATATCATATGCTATCCTTTATTTTATTCATTGTACCTATTTTCTTAATGTACTGGCTGCCACGTCTTTCACCCAACACCAGTAGTTGCAGTTTCAGACTATGTACTGCAGGATACCAAAAAGGGGTGGGCAGAAATACTCCCTGGTGGCTGGGGGTTCAGCAAGTCAGCCCTGCTGTCTGTGCATTATCCTGCCCTGATGTGCTCCACAGGAGGGGGCCCGCTGGGAAGAGCTGAGGGACGCTTGGGTGTGTCAGTGTTAGAGCTGTGACTTCTCATCAGCCTCAGGTGTGACGAGATCCGAGCACGGTGGGCACAGCTCTGTGTCCCCCTTTCCGCATTGCTGGGTGAGCGGCCCTGGTGGGATGGAGCTGGCAGTGTCTCACCACACAGGGCTGCCTCACTGGAAAGATCTAAGGAAATGGTCCCTTAGGAGTCAGGTTTGAACAGCTGTTCTGGTTGAGAACCTCATGTTAAGATTCCCATATCTTTCCTTTTTCACAGATATACAGTCATGCCTTTCTTAAATGCAGATGTTTAATAAAACTCAAATAAAGGAAAAACTTGTTTCACTTGATATTTTTTAAGGCTGAGAGCAGATCAATAGTTTGCAAGTAATGCTGCTCCTTTGTACAATTTTGTTTGTAATTATGGTAATGTTAGGGGCACTAGGGCACCTTACAGAAGCCTTAAAAGAAAGCTAATCCAAGCAGATTTAGCTCTGTGTCTGTGTTTTGTGTCTCTGTGTTTGTATGTGAGAGTGTATGTGTGAGTCCAGTGGTAAAGCATGTAGATTGAGCATGGAGATGTATTGAGGAGGGCCCACACCTCTTGAAAATATGCTTGTTGCTTTACAATGTATGTAAACTGTTCTCCAGCATAAATGCATTCATACTTTAATAAAAAAAAGTTTTGAGTTAAACCTTGTTAGTTTTAAGCTGTCTTTCCAATATAAACTCTGTGGTTTTGTGTGTGTGGGTTCTGTGTTTATTTCATTTAGTGGAACGAAAATGTTAATTTATTTCCATTTAATTATTGCATCAGTCTTCATGGGAATTGCTGTTAACATTTTAATATTATTTTCTTTTCAATATTTAGGCCAATTATTGCTGTGAGGTTTTGTTTTGGTTATGAGGGGGTTGTGTGTTTTGGTTGTTTGTTTGTTGGATTCTTTGTGGTTTTTGTTGGTTGGTTGGCTGGTTTTGTTGGTTATTTTGGATTGTTTTCGGTTTTTTGTTTGGTCGGTTGGGGTTGGTTTTTTTTGTTTGTTATTTGTTTTTTTTACTTTGTGGAGTGGGGACATGATTTATAACTTTTGCTTAGCAGGAGGTGGCAGAGATACCCCCACTCCCAACCTGAGCAGTTGAAATGAACTCTGCTGAGTGGGAGCAGTATTGCCTTCATTATAGAAATCACAGCATGGTTCAGGTAGGGCATTTGATGGCAGGATGGGGAATACACCACCATGCTGGCAGCTTTCAATTTTTCTCTGAATTTTTGGATGACTCAGTGTTTCCAAATACAGATCTAAAAAATTATTTCTCTTTTTCTTCCCACAGTGTGTACTGGGAAGTGGGGAGTCATGTATGGGCTATATGCTGGTCAAAAAAAAAAAAAAATCTGGGTCCTGCTGTGTATATAGTTGCCTTCTTGATCAAAGGCAAAATTAGCCAAATTTCCTTCAACTTTTAACAAATTATTTTCTTTTGCTCAGAGCTATATTTATATGTTAGCTTCCTGACTTGTTTGGATGCTCTGCCACCAAAGCTGCTATGAATGGGTGTGTGGAATCCCTCATTCCATCCTCTCACCCAGATGTCCCTGCTGACAGCAGAGGGGTTCGTGTGTGAGCCCCAGGCCTTGGTGAAAGGGCTGCTGGAGTGTGGAAGGGGCAGGAGATTCCCAGCCCACCTCACACTGGGCTGAGGTGCCTCCTGCCAGCTGTACAGAGAACTGCAGTGGGTGGTTTGAGTTTGGGATTTCCATTTCTGGAGTAAATAATTAGGAGAGTGGGATGTCTTCCTGTCATGGGGTGGGCATGATCTTTCTGGCTGACACAGTCTGCCCCTCTCACCCTCCAGGCCAGGCCAGAGTACAACTGCACAGAAATCTGGTCAGCAGTCGTGTGGCAGCAGCACCAGGGCAGTGACTGTCCCCCAGTGCTGGGCCCTGGTGAGGCTGCACCTTAAGAGTCTTGTGTCCCATTTTGGGTCCCTCAGTATATGACATTGAGGCTGTGGATTAGCTTAGAATTTTGCATGAAAAAATAAAATATAAAGGAGAAAATTCTAGTCCTTTTATTAGAAAATCAGACCCTTTGAAACATGAACCAGCTATTTTCTAATACTTTAAGCATGCAAGAGAATATTAGGGAATGTGAACTGCAGTTTGTCTTTGAAAACATGAGATTTGAAAAATAATCAGTATCATGAGTTTGGATCCTTAGATAATTTGGAATTCAGGCCAAATCTCTCTGCATTATCAATTCCAAATGTGTGATGCCATTTGCAAGAAGGAGAAATGCTTTAAATCGTGAATTGCTAGCATAGCAGTTATCACTGATTATCAGTTGCCAGTAGATACTGGAATGAAATATCAAGTTAAACTTTTACTTCAATTAATCTGCTGGAAAAAAAAAATCACAAAGTTTCCATCAAGAGTAATTTCCAGTTGGCTAAAGTAATTCCTGTTCAACTACAAAGAGTCCAGTTTTGGATCTCACTGCATCCCGCTGTGGGTTGATGAGTTCCTTCAGTGTCAGCCAGGAAAACATGTGAAGGATTTATTTCCCTCTTGTGCTTCTAGGGGAGAGTGGAAGGGGTCTAAATGTCTGTGCGTTATTAGGAGTGTGGAAAAAGCATTTAGGTCATTACACCTCAATGCCACTACATAACATCACCATGGTTATGCCAAGGGGATTTTCACTATTTTTCTACCTACCTTAAGAAAGGGAAACTGTTACTCTGTATAGAATGAATTTGTTCCATTTTCAAGCTCTGAAGTCTAAATATCTTCTGCTCCTACCAAGTCTTCTGTGGAGCTGTGAGTGAATGGTAGTTGTGCCATGGGGAGAGTAACACTCCGCACCAATGAACATAGGTTGCATGAGAATTGCTTAGATGTGCATGGGGGTTCTAGCCCAGGGGGATGGAGAAAGGCAGACAGTAATTTCTTTCATGTTTGAACTCAAAGGCTCTGAAGAACAGCTGAATGTTTTGTTTTGTTTGTCCCCAAAACAAAACCCTCTGCAGCTGGTTCCACTCCTTAGCTTTTCTGTAGGGAATGCCTTCAGTTTTACATGAAAAAGCAGTTGGATTTTGCCAATGACTTTCATTTAATTTTCCTAAAACTTACAGATAAATGGTATGTGATTGAGAAACGTTTGATACCTAAGTGGCAACCCCTTATCAGTCTCTTAGAAAACTTTAAATATGTTATTCTTGGAAGTTTTGAGACTTCCGTGTCAGTGAATTCATGGAATTTTATTTTAATTGTAGGGTTCGCTGTGTGTCTGTATACACATGTATGGATATATCTGTTCATACATATCCATACACACCTTGAAACACGATCCTTGTTAAATATCATGTGAATGATGGACATATGTAACAGTAGGTGGATGTGTGAAGGCAGTCTTGCATGTTAGTCTTGAGATGAATGTTTTACTTATTAAAAGGTTCTCCCTTTTACAGTAGGAAACAAATTAAATTGTCTACCTACATGCAAAATCTGATGTACCATATGCATTATTTACCACTTACCACCAGAGCTATCCCACTCCATGCCAAATTAGCTACTCTAAGAATGATACATGGTTAGGCTCATTTTTCCCTGTGGCAGTGAGTTATTAATTTGTACATAATTTGAAGTGATAACTTAAATGTATGATTGTTGTCCTGTAGACCAGAGTTTACAGTAAAAGAATATATCCTTTAGTGAAAGTAGAAACACTCATTATACCTTTCTTCTAATATAATTTTAAACAGATACAGGGTGTTTTTAAAAGTTCCTTTTTTGTTGAACTCCATTAAAATGCTTCCTCTCTCTCAATGTGGCATTGATCATGGTTGGCTGGGGAAAGGCCAGGTTTTCCAGGGAGGTGGTCCCTCCCACCCCAGCAGCACACAGACACTGGTACTGTGCCCCTGTGCTGTAGTTCAGTGTCTGCTTTGATTTCCTTGAAGTTGGGAAGACCTCTCTTGTGTGGCTGCAGTTCATTGTAAGTGCTCTGAGAATTTCTGCAGTTAGGATTGTAATTAATTTTGATCGTGGCTGTTAAAGCAGATACAATGATTTTCTGAAAATAAGTGTATGTTTGGAGAGATGTTACCTTGTGTGCTCCGGTGTCTTCTCTGAAAAAGAGTTAAGAGATGTGTTGGAAACACAGGTGGGATGCTGCACATGCTGACTGTGCTGCAAATGGGATGAACTGGCAATGGGCTGTTAATCCTGAGGGAGAGCGTGGGAGGGCACAGAAAGGTTCAGTTTTGATGGCAAAGGAATGACTCTTAATTGCTGTACCTGTCACATGATGCAGAATCATCCTTCCCTAGAACGTCCCTTCCCCAGAGGGCGGTTACTGTGCAGACTGGAGCATCTCTCTCCTTCCCAACTTCCATCATTGGAGTGGGAAGATAGCACTAGCTGGTAACTTTTACCTGTTAGGCTTTGATTTGCATTGTGCTTTACATACTCTGTTATTTTCCTGCAAATCTTATTGCTGTCAGAAAGAGAGGAGACATTATAATCCCATGAATAATGCATCATGTGGCTGGTATGTTTTCCTGCGGGCAGTATAGATTTTCTGAGAATGATGGACAGGAGTAGATTTCATTCTTAGTGAATTGTAATTTTATACAGTTTATATAGGTCATGTGAATGTGAAAAAGTGTGCTATTCCTATTTCAAATTTGTTATTTCAATTTAGTTACCTCTCATTTAGAGAGTAGAAATAGTTTTAGACATAATTACTGAGGATATAATTAATCAAGGTTTTCTTGCACAGTTGGGTTAAATTGTTGTTGTTGAGTGCTCAGTACCATGCCAGCGCTCCCTGGCTCAGTTTCATCTTTAATGGATTCCAGATCTCATGGTTTCAAGTAACAACAGCTTTTCCAGATCCCAAGACAATAATGAAATACACAGAGGAACTTCAAAGGAAACTCTTCTAGAAAGGAAAAATGAGGTTAAATGATGATAGTCAACTGCAAGATATTTTTGTATCCATAAAATAAGTTAGACCTCTTCCAATGCAGGAACAGGTGAAATCTGAAACTATGCTTGACTAATAGACCATGCTTCATATCTACCCGGGCTCTCCTAAATGGGCTGGGACCTGATTTTCTCTGGGGTTTCCAGGTAAGTTCCTTTATATCTTTTCAAGTCAGCTCTGGCCACACAGACTAGCAGCATTTGTGCTTCCCTTCCCTGTTTCTAGCAGTCCTTGCTGTTGGGTAACAGAGGAATGACCTGGGATGAGCTGGAGGCAGGTCTGTGTGCAAGGAGCTGCGGGATCCCTGCACCCACTGCTCTGCCCCAGCCTGGCTGTCCTGCTCTGCTTGTCCCTGGTGTCCCTGTGAGGAGGCGGCTGTCACTTCCAATGAGCCCTGCTCTGCTCCCTGGGCCATTGCAGTGTCTTCTGCAGGTAGTGTGCTCTGATTAAATTTGTGTGGCCTGTCAGAAAAATACATTGTTCCTTACCAGTGCTGTGGAAGTGAGTGGATGGTAATGCACTGGGCTGTGCTGTGCAGGGAGGGAAAGGCTCCTTCCTGCAGTCTGCAGAAGTTTAACTGCCAGGAATTGCCCAGCGTTTGATAATTAGCACATTACAGGTCTCTGCTGGGCTGCATCCACCTCTTTTCTGTCTCAGGTCATTCATGCCTTGGTGTCAGGGGGATGGTCCCAGTGGGCTCACGTGTGTCT